AGAAAAAAAAGATGAAGAAGAATTGGTGTGAAAAAGAAAAAATTAAGAGGAGGAATTTGAGCAAAAATGAAGAAAGATGAAGAGCTGATTGAGTGAAGGGTAAAGATGACAAGGTTTTGGTGTGATGAAGAAAAAAGACGAGGAGGATTTTGAGTGAAGGAGAAAGGTGAGTTGTTGTTGGAATGAAGAAGAGAAATGATGAGGGGAGTGAGCAAAATAAATTAAGGTGAGGAGGGAGCTTGAGTGAAGGAGAACATACGAACGTGTTGCAGTGAAGAAGAAAAAAGATGATCAAGAGTTTGACCAAAAATGAAGAAAAATGAAGTCGAGCTTGAGTGAAAGAGAAAGATGAGTAGGTGCTGGAATGAAGAAGAAAAACGATGATAAGGTGTTTGACCAAAAATGAAGAAAGATGATTAGGAGTTTGAGCAAAAATGAAGAAAGATGAGGAAGAGCTTGAGTGAAGGAGAAAGATGAGTAGGTGTTGGAATGAAGAAGAAAAACGATGATGCGGAGTTTGGGCAAAAATAAAGAAATGTGAGGGTGAGCTTGACTGAAAGAGAAAGATGCGTAGGTGTTGAAGTGAAATAGAAAAAAATCAGAAATTAGAGTGAAGAACTATAATGATTAAGAAGATTTGGAGTAAAAAATACATTTTAGGAGGTTGAGTAAAAAAGAAATATAAGGGTGTTTTGGTATGAAAAAGAAGCAATTTGAGAAGGTTTTGCAGTGAAGAAAAGAAAAATGAGGAACTATGGGATTGAAGAAGTAGAACGATGAGGAGGAGTTGAATTAAAGATGAAGAAAGATGAGGAGGTTTTGTAATGAAAAAGAAAAAAAGATTAGTATCTGAATTAAAAAAGAAAGATGAGGGCGAGTTTGAACGAAGAAGCAACATGTGTAGGAGTTGAAGGAAAGAAGAAGAAAAATGCTGTGAATGATGGAGTGATGGTGAAAACAATGAATTGAAAGAACCACGAGGAGGCGGAGGAAAAGGCAGAAGAGGAGGAACAGGAAGAGGTGAGAGGAAGAAGGAAAAAAATGCGTTGATTTCTTGCGCTAAGCCTTCTGGTATATCCGTTGGAGTTCTCTCTTTTCCCCGCTCATCTCAAATCATTTCTAATCTGTTCAGCTTCAATGCATTTTGTTCCCTTCAACGCTAATCGATTCACGTTTTACACTCTGAATATTTTCCATCAACGAACTTAAAGTTTGACTGAATTCCATTAATGGAAACCCGCTGTCTTCTACTCGATGAGCAGGATAACTTGACCATGACCCACGGGTCATTAGTTAAATTTCTAGTATGATACCATGCTGAAAAGTCCTCTGCCCAAACAATTCCCATCAAATATGAGCAAATAACCAAACAACGTATTCTCTTTTATTTTTTTCTTTGGTGGCGATGGAAGTGGATCTTGAGCGGGTTGATAGTTTTCATCAGATTCGCAAAAGTAATTAAATAACTATCAGGAAAACGAACTTATAACTAAATATATATATATATATATATATATATATATATATATATGTGTGTGTGTGTGTGTGTGTGTGTGTGTGTGTGATAGATAGATAGATAGATAGATAGATAGATAGATAGATAGTCTGTGATAGATAAATACTGAGATAATCTGTGATAGATAGATAGATAGACAGAACACATGAACAAGTTGTGATATATATATATATATAAATATATATATATGTAGAGAGAGATAGATAGATAGATAGATAGATAGATAGATAGATAGATAGATAGATAGATTGATAGATAGATAGATAGATAGATAGATAGATAGGAACCGATTGTGATAGATATAGATATATCGATATATCTACATGAACATGTAGATATATCGACATAAACAGATTCTGATAAATAGTATACATGAATAGACTGTGTATATATATTTATAGAGATATATAGATAGATAGATATGAACACTGTGATAGATATACCTACATGAACAGACTCTGATAGATAGAATACATGTACTGCATACATACATATAAAGATATATATATATATATATATATATATATATATATATATAGATAGATAGATAGATAGATAGATAGATAGATAGATAGATAGATAGAATTAAACAGGGCAGAGTGCTTGCACAATTATTCAGGCGTAAAAGTACAAATGGTCTCTCAATGGAATGCAAAGCCATCATATTTGCTCGAAGATTCCCTTGTGATTCCGATTAGGTGACATTATTTCTCCAAAGGCGTACATGAATCTATCATCCAAATCAGTTGAACACCAACAACGTATAAAACTGTTGTTACTTCATTGGCGAAGGCATGCATTAATTCCATTTTGCTTACGATATATATCACTTTTCTTCCTTATTTTCAAATCCCATCGTGCAGACTGAGAGCTGAAACTTATTCAAGCAAATTATCAGTTAAGAAGACTGAAAAACAACAAAATTATATTTGCTTGTCATATGATTGTTTTCTTTTGCTTAAGATATATCTTTGTTTCTTTTGTAAAACTGTTGAAGTTCAGCATTGGTTTAGCTTATTTTGTTTTACGGCATATCAAGACTTCAATGGGTTATTTAATGCAGACAAGGTATTTAGGATAGGTTCGAATGAATAGAATATATATTCGTTGTAAGAAATCAGTTTGTAGATGAGGTTTCATTGACATATTTTTGCAAAGAGGGTTTTTGCCGAGAGTTTGGGTTACTTTATTTAGTTTTACAGCATATCAACTCCAATGTGTTATTTAACGAAGACAAGATGTTCAGGATATGTTCGTATGAATTGAATATAAATTGTTTGTAAGAAATCAGTTTATAGATCAGGTTTCATTGACGTATTTTGTAATGAGGGTTTTTTTCTAGAGTTTGGGTTGGTCTATTTTGTTTTACGGAATATCAAACTCAACGGGTTATTTAATGACGACAAGATTTTTAGGATAGTTTCGTATAAATAGAATATGTATTGTTTGTAAGAAATCAGTTTGTAAATCAACTTCCATTAACGTATTTTTGTAAAAAAGATTTTTGTCTAGAGTTTGGGTTGGTTTATTTAGTTGTACGGCATATCAACATCAATGTGTTATTTCCCGAAGACAAGATTTTCAGGATATGTTCGTATGAATAGAATAAGTATTGTTTGTAAGAAATCATTTTGTAGATCTGGTTTCATTGACGTATTTTTGTAAACAGGTTTTTTTCTCGAGAGTCAAATATATTGCTAGTAATATTTTTCTTTTAAAAAATCTATTGCTAGTAGTTTTACTATTAAAATCTATTTTTATACTTTCATTGTGTTTTGACCTCAGTTTGTTAACTATTTGCCCATAGATGGGGCCCTAACAGGTGCTACCGCCTCGAGTCTGGGTGGACCTGGGAACATCGGAAATTATGAGGTGATTCTACGCCCCTGAAAACCTCTTGATCAGATGTAGTCTATCATCATACCCAGGGTTCTTCAACTCTTAAACGGCGAAAATTATTGCTAAGAAAATAGGGCCAACTATAAGTAGGCTTTATATATAATTTAATTTCTCGAAATTCCATAAACTTTTTAAAAAAATTAGTAAGTGATGAATAAAAGCTGTAAAAAGACTTTATTTAGACCAAGATTTTCTCAAAAAAATATTCCTAAAAATATTTCATTCATTTGCAATTAAGTCATTATTTTGACGAGGATTTTCTCAAAAAAATATTTCTCAAAATATTTCATTCATTTGTAATTAAGTCCTGAATGTTTCATTAAAATTAGACAATTATTTGATTTTTACAAGAATTTCCAAATCAGTGTTTTCCACCGCAAAAAATACGCCAAATTTTTCTGTGCTAATTTCTAGTTCGCTCGTTGACGCAAGAAAAACAAGATTTTCATCTAAAATTTCGAACTATGTAAAAAAGATTAAAGCTATAATTAGATAATAAAAATATTCTGGCCTTTCTTTTGTTTTATATCACGTTTGGTGATATTTTTTTTATCATAGTATTGTCTTTTTAGGGAATGAATGGAGGTTTCCACCCTCCCTCTCTCTCTCTCTCTCTCTCTCTGTATCTAGCTATCTATCTATCTATCTATCTATCTATATATATATATATATATATATATATATATACACCGTGTAACAGAAAAAAATTGTCCAAAGCGTGTAAAAGTAAAATTGTCCAATTGTTAGATTAAGCATTGAACCGTTGTTTCTTAGACATGATTAAAGATATCTTACTGGAATTCTTGGAGGTGTTTATGACATTATTGGACTCTACTTTGATCAATAATAATTAATAATTACTCTCCAAGCTTAGCAGAAGAAACGTGATGAAATCAATCATAAATGAAAATGACATGGTCATCATTAATTAATCATAGCTAATGATCAGACATTCCTGAAGTATTGAAATAATGTTCAAATATATATATATATATATATATATATATATATATATATATATATATATATTCACACCCATCCCAGTTCTGCGGAATCAGAATCAACGTTGAGTTTAAGCAAGGGAATGAGCCAATTGGAGTAAAGTGCCATGTAGATTTAAATTTTTCCCACTTGTGACTAATGCAGCTATCGATTTTTTTTTGCATGCTAGCATGCTAGTTAACATTCATGTCAGTCAGCTGTTGGCTCTCACTCTGGCCAGTACAACATGGCCGCAAACTACATGAAAACTGCCGTAGTAGCATGAAAAAAATCGATTATTTCCACAATCATTGGGAGTTGGAAAATGCAAGGTCGGTCTTGGCCTTCCCGCTAACTTGGATTATGGGCATGTAAATTTTGGTGCAAATCCGTCGAAAATTGCGGCCGAGCATTGGTTACACACACACACACACACACACACACACACACACACACACATCCTGCCTTTTATAGATAGCGATAATAATAATAATAATAATAATAATAATAATAATAATAATTGGTATGAACACCAACCAGACCCGGTTACGAAGATAGGATCTGTTACAATTTTATGGGACTACAGAATACGCACAGATAGAAC